AATCACCCCATTTCTTGGCTGCTGGACATGTCGACCCAGGCAGTGAGCGGGCCGGGATGCATGCCTTAGCGGCGGAACAGCTGAAGGAAGGAGAGCACATCAATCTCAGCCCCTGGGATATCTGGGATGAGATGATCGTGGGGACAGTGGATATTTGATGGAGATGCAACAGGAATATAATCCGATAGGAATATATAAGATTCATTAATATATATATATATACATACACACACATATATATATATATACATATATATATAAATATCCATGATATTTCATGGAGATATCATATACATTCCCAATTGGATAGATGAGTTAGATGACAACTTGGATATGATATGGGGATAGTGTATGCTGTGGGTCAAAATTTCATGACCTTAGTCCAAATGGATGGTTTAGGGATTTGATTTGGCCTCGGACATGGAGTATTCTATCGAGGATTTCCTACATTGCTGCGGGGAAACAGTCACAGTCATGAGTTATTGACATTTGGATTCTATGCATCTACATGTCTACCAATCGGATCGCTTGTTGTTTGTGATATTGCCGTTATGTTGGTGAAGCCATGTCTTCACATACACCAACTTTGGTTTCCTCTTAATATACCATATATATATAAAGAATACGCATTATATTGCATTATATAATGTATATATATAGACATATATGGTATACCATGATTATATATATATATACATATATATATATCTTATTGTAGTATATATGAAATGTGTACACACTGTAATATGTCTCCTTTTAACCTGTCTGGGTTACTTCACAAACTGAGGCCTCTCTGCTTTGGGCCGTGCTGGTGCCTCAGTTCGCCGACTCGACTCGACGGGTCCCGACCTGGACGGAGGTATTGGACGATGTGCTGTTTACTGTTTGCCAGGTAGAACCCTATGGATCATTTTCTTCATATCATTTCATATATATTTTTTAATTTGTAAAGACCACCGGTTCAAATTTTCTGTACAGCTTAGTGTAGTTCTGACCTACTCCATGATTTTCAAGGGCGGTCCCCAAAAAAAGATAGAACAGCAAGCCCATTTCAATGCATTTCCAACTCTTTTGGTGGAGGTCGTGGGTGCGCTTGCCAGCGGGAAATGCGAGCACGTTCCGCAGCTTGGTTCCAGAGGGCCAAACAGCACTGGGGGGGCCACTGGGGGTGCCATTTCCTGTGGGAATCCAACCCGGCAGTGGGAAACATATATATAATTATAATTATAATTATATTATATATATACTGGTATATATTTATATATCATCATCTATCACAGGGAGCTTTCCCCTTGCCAGCTTAGACTACCAGAGGGGTTCTCAAGGATAGTTGCACCGTTCCACCGTTGCAGCTACTCGTACCTGACTGTCCACGAGATTTTGATACCTTGGTTTTTGACAGATGTTGGATTGAACTTGCAAGGATGGCTTCAATAGATTCGTGAACTTGATCCTAAAGTTTCTTTTCAAATCACTCTCGTTTGGTGCTCCAAAAACTTCAAATCGGACAAAATGTCCGCAGCTGAATCTAAGATGTTTGCAAAGAAAAAATATATATCAATTTTTATCCCATTTTATTGCTGTCAAATCATGTTAATTTGCTCCATCCCCATGCTGGGCAGGTACCGGGACTCGGCTTTGACCTGGCTCTTGAAGGTGGATCCCCGGTCGTCACCATGACGACTGGATGATGACTGCGGGTACCCCCATGACTTGGGAAACCTCCATATGATGAATGGTCAGTTAATGCGGAAAAATGATGACTGACAGTCATACTTAGGGGTAATTAGTAGTAAATTACTCTATTATTGTACAAATCGACATGTTTTTATCATATCATACCATGTCCACAGAGACCTGGTGCTCTTGGGGGATCCTACTTCTCACCACCCCAGCAACGTTCACATCGCAATTTCAACTAAACCCCGTTCACCAGTGCGATCCTTTTTGAAGCCCCTGTACCTCATCATGGGGGCATCAAAAGTGAAGACACTCAAAGCCACAGATTTTGATGGGTCTTGGATGGTCTTGGTATGCAACAATGCAGCACCACTGTTCTATTGGACCCATTCCAGGACGCCATTACTGGTAGCAGTGCACGGGTGTGCATGGTCGCCGCGGTGCATCCGGCCCATCCCGTAGAAACTGCCCCTGGGCCAATGGCACTGGCGTGCCATTTTCATGGGATGATGACAAAGGATGACAAAGGTTGAAAAAGGTCAACAAATGATTGGGGTATATTGGGGTCCAATCCTGTGAGTACTCACAGGATTGCATCTTTCACCAACGTTTTTTTTTTAAATTCTTGCTCCTTCATTGATCTACAGGGCAAACATCGCGGGAACTTGTGGTACCCGGCACTAGTTACTAGTTCCCCCGCCGTCTTATCCTCGGAACACAATTTCTTGAAGGCTTAACCACCAACAAGTTTTCTGGGGACATCCTTGGGGACCCCAGTCCCCCACCTAGGCCTGGGTTGGGAGCCCCACTAAGGCCTCCACCTTGCGCTATGCGCGGCAGTATTCGGCGCTGCAAAGCACCAGCGGCTCCCATGCCTCGCAACTGTCCTCCCAGGCGCCTGGGATGCTGTGAACAACTGATATGTTATGGAGAGGTTCAAACCACTAGGGGAGGATTGAACATGATGGAAGCGTGATGAAACACATCGAAGAAATTCGAAGGAGACATGAACGATCAAAATTCATCAAAATTCAAGAATGCTGACCATGGTGATGAATCCAAGCCGGACGTTTCTCAGGGGGGGGTAGAGTAAGACTTTCTGTTGTTTGTTTCTGCCAGGGCGAATTGACAGATTTGCGCATATATCACGCTCACGTGATTTGCAAATTTGTCGGTTTCTCCACGCTTTATACTGCAAGGTGAGTAGTCTGTCACCTCTCCATTGAGGGCTGCTCTTCATTTCGCAACCTTGCAGGATCCCCTCCCCATTTACATTTTTTCGACCCTGGATAATCGGATAGCAACGTGAAGAGATTGCATCTATAGATACGTAAATGATTCATAATGATTCAATGATCATACCAGTATTTTCACGTAGTTTCCATGACCTCTGCCCACAATTCATTGGCATCCTCCATTTTCACACGCAGTTGATGCGGCCCTTTTCTGGAGGTCCGCGACTTGCAGCGGCGAGTGGATGCCTTGCGACATGCCTTTGAGAAGGCGCAGCCAGTGAGCTGAAGCTGGTTTTCGAAGTGGGCTTCCATTCGCAAGTCTTGGGTGCATTAGAGACCATTTGAGTTTTGATTTTGTGCTTGATCGATCAGATATACCAGATTTCACACATTCGTTGGTTCTTTTTTGGCATGGCGTGCTTGTGGCTTTGTGTTACTAGACAGTAGCGCGACGGATAGCCGGGCTCGAGGCACTGAATGGCGATGAACACAGCATTGCGCCTCCCGGACTTGAAGCAAACGTGGGCAGGGAAAATCATCAAACTAAATGGGGGATTTTCCATTGGGGAATATGGGCCATATGGGGAATCAATCTCTTATCTCCATGTCACACCGCCCGGGGCCACAACCACTTTACAATCTTCCACAATTGTCGTAGAATCATGGTTATGACGTTATGAGTCATGATAATCATCATCAGCATCAGTGCTCGTGAGCTCATGAATCCCCGAAAAACCCTGAGGTGGACGCGAGAGTCCTTGCAGGGTTCAGTGCATTGTCAGCCAAAGGCCAACGCACGGTCCGGGGCCTGAAGGGGGCTGGTGTTTGGGGGGCTGAAGTATGAGGATGTTCACCAGGAAAAATCGATGTTCACTCTGAAATTTGGCAGTATCATCATGTAGTTCTTCTGGTGGTTTTAAAATGTTTTAAATAGGGGGTCTACTAAGTCTACTACTACTTTCTCTACTGGCTGAGTAGAACCAATCCACAGAAGGTCTTGGCAACTGCTCACGCCCCAGTCACGCCCAACTGTGTAACCAATTGGAAGATTCGCCAGATCCAGAGGAGCTCAGCTTAGATCCTCATCAGAAGTCATGAGCCGGCTGAGTATGTAGAATGTACACAGTGCAGGTCTTCAAGTTGATTTCGGGTTGCCAGGTTGCCAACAACCTTGGTGTTTGATTTCTGTTTGCCATGCCTTTTTAGCGGGATTTGGATGTATTATGCGTGGTGGGTATACGCAAGTTGTGATTGCCCTCTGACGGGTTAACAATGAATGCGCCATTCGGTCAGATTGGATCCGCTGCCGCGTCAGAGATCAATGGGAGACTCTACCAAAGCTGGCCAACGTAAACCAAAATCGTGCCCCAATACATTGGCTTTGTGCATGCATGTGCAGTTAGCAGTCTCACCACACCTTCACATTTTGACACACCGACTCATAATGGCCTTTCATACCTGCCATTGTGTGAAATGAAAAGAAGTGAACCATGGGTTTGTTATTAGGAGAACGTCGTGCAAGCATGAACCGCAGCGTGCCTCCAGCTGTCAACCAAGGCAATGGTTCGACTCGCACCCGACCCTCACTTGGACGCAAGCGCACCAGAGCAAGGCAAAGACAACAGAGCCGAGACGTCTTCATGAGATGAGAAGCTGGAAAATTGACCCGTTGAATGCTCAAAACACAGATATGTGGTGATTTTGTTGCCATGTCTTGAGCCAACTACTTGTAGCTCTTCTCTCGGATGTACTTTCTAGTTTCGAATAGACTTTGATTCAATTCCATTCAATTCCATCCAATTCCGTCATCATGGAACATGGCTAGAGACATGATATAAGAATATACTTGAATATATAAGACAAGGATTCGTGTTCCATCACGAAAGCAAATGATGTCAACCCTGGATTAATAAACCCTGACTATTGGGGTGACCCTTGAAGTAGTGATCAATTAAGACTCAATTTGGTACCCCCCCAAATTGGGTAAACGACCCAGCCGGCTCTTCAGGCTGCTGTGCGTGGGCAACGCCGGGACCGGAGTGGAATTGGTGCGCACCGGTCACCTCTGCCCACTGTAGACAACTGTAGACCAGGGGATCGGATTTCGAGTATGCTGTACCGGCTGTACCATGTTTTGCCCATCATCTATCCACAGATTCCACGGTGATTGTGACATATCGTGCTGATGAAGTGAACGCTGCACATCAACATCAAACCAGGCAAATATTGGGACAGATGTTTGAAAACTTGAAGTGAAGCTCTTGATGCAGTACTCTATGCCAGGTTACATCACAAAGATCGAGGAGATTCTCAATGAAGAAGTTGGCTCCCGTATTTGTGAGGTGACTTTTGAAGGTCGTCATGGAAGGCAGGGTTGGGTGAGGCTTTTAAAGATTTCAAAGGTGACTTGGTGCATGTTTTCATTTGATCATTTTACCACAGAACTTGGAGAAACGTAGGAAAGTTCGTGGGTTGTATCATGACATAGCTATTTGGGTCGTGCCACGACTTGGCTACGGCACCAAGTCGCGAGGCCTCCTGTTGTGCTGTGGTACCCCGAAGTAGCGCTCGCAGGGGCGCCCAAGCTATGCTGAGCTCCAAAGGAATTGCAATGGCCAATGGAAATTCTACTGTCATAGAATTGGATGATGGGAAAATTTACAGGAAAGCCCTATATTTGATGGGAAAATCTATGGTTTCCTGTAGATTTTCCCTTAAACCAATCCATCGATACTGGCCATTCAAGGCCCATGGGTTGAAGCCACCGCCCAGGAGATGGTTAAGCCACCTTCAACGCTACTTGAGGCGCTGATTTCTGCTGGGATATGGTGCCCTGAGGTTCTGTGTGGCCGGATCGTTACGCTGGATCGCGAGGATCAAAGAAAATCACATCCCAACACATCCCAACACACTCCCAATTGACCCTGAAGAACATAGTCTTCAGATCCACTTACTATAGATTTATAATACCCACAAAACATACTATAGGACACACGGTATTTATCTACCTACAACTCATTATACACCAATTGCCTATGCGGGGATCGGTCAACATTTTGGTATCAATATGTATCAATGGGCCCATAGATTCGGTAATCCATCCATTTTGGGGTCATTTTTTTTGACCCATCCCAGTGTGGTTTTGTCCATTTCCTCTATGGGTTTGCTATATGTTTGTTGAATTGGATTATAATCTACTTGTTGGACATTCCCATTACTGTATATAAATATTGTTATATATATATAATTTAATAATTTAAATATATGTATATATATATATATTATATAGTCAGTATATATTATACATTATATACATATCCCATGTAGTTGTTGTTTAGTTATGATAGTTATGCAGTTATGCCCAATGACATTCACAATTCTTGGGCTTTCCCGCAGGCCATGCAGAAGTTAGACACTGCAGAGGCTGAGCTGTCGAGGCTGCGGGGTGATCTACAGGCGCGACCTGGGATGGAGGGCCCTGGGTTAGTGAAATCGCTTGGGAGATACAAAAATTGTTAATGGGATTTAATATGATTTAACCATTTGAAATGAGGATTTACTGGGATTTAATGACATTTTTCATGGGATTTTATAGGATTTTATGGGCCAATCATGGGAGATATCGCTTGCTTGGTGGTGCAGTTGGGGTGTTTTCATAGGTTTAACTATAGTAATCACCCCCCACACCTTGGGATATAACATGATTAATCACCCCATTGACTAAGTGGAACTGCACCCCAGTGGCACAGTGGCGACCCCAATTCTATATTGGGGGGAAGGATGAATAACATATGATAAAATTCCGTTTGGATACACCTATATTTTGGGGACAAAAGCCATGGTGTCCTGCACGATTTCAAACCCAACCATTGATAAATGGCTTGAACATGCTTGAACCAGATTTTGTTTGACATTTTTGTTGGGAAACCACCCCTAATTCTGATGGTGAATGACAATTGATCAGCATTATCCCTCCATTTTCCTCCATTTTGTTGCAATAACCGGGGTAGGGCCCCCATTTTCGGATCCACCAGAACCCAGCCATCATGCATTTTAAATCCTGGAGGCGGTTCGGAAAGACGAGGCCATGAGACAACAGGAGTGGATGGCAACTGCTCAGATCGGGAAGCTTCCAAGGCTTCCAAAAGAGCGTGACCTTGAAATGGATGGAACACCGAAAGAAAAAGGGGCACCGGGGTCACCGGGCGCGTTGCGACGGAACGCGTTGTGGCAGAAAGGCCCCTTCAAGTTGCCACCAGACATGTCATGACATTTCTATGATTTCCGATGGGGTTATCCGGTATAGTTCAGTATACTCAGTATACCGTATACTTCAGTGGACTTATACAGCACTGTTTGCATAACTGGTAGGGGGCCCATTGCTTGGGGTTCCGCGGCAACTGAAGGGAGTCTTGGGTTTGTCCAGAAGTGGGGATTGGCATTGAACTTGAACACGAAGAAAATGATGATAGACCATTGGATTGGAATAACGATTTTTTTTGGCAAACTCTGAATCGGCGGTTGACTCATCAATAATGAGGATTTAAGTTTGCCTTCCGTCTTTGCAAAGGAGAGAGCATAATGCAACTGTAGCGACTGATCAAGAGAGGCTTGGACCAGATTGATACTCGGTTGATCATCCCAATTTGTAAGTGGCTATTCTGAGTCCGCTGAGGTAAGCTTCTTACAACTGAAGGACGACACCAACCACAGTTTCATAGTCCCACAACTTGGAATCTCTACTCTTCAGTGGTTTAAACTGTACTTTTTGCCAATCTTTGATGGCCATACGGTAGGTATTACAAATAGATGAAGATCACATTAGAAAGTTATATATACCCCATATTTTCTTGGGACAAATGCAGTTGAGAACAGAACATTTCTGGGCGTCTAAGTACAGGATAGTATAGGACCTATAGGATAATTTCACAATCGGCGTATGAGCCGGGATCTAAATTATCGTCTGCATTTTTCCCAACCTTCTGGCCGCAACTTCTCTGCCATGGCCCCAGTGAAGCCATGCAACTTGGAACTCGCCAGCTCGGTGGAGGAAGCCCTGCGCTGCGAGGGGAGGCGCTCTCCAAACATCCTGAAACATCCTGAAACTATGATTTCCTCCAGTATTCAGCAGCAATGATCAGATCTGGCTCTGGTATCCCCTCAGGGTCGCTCCATTCCCCCCAGGCAGCAGACATCGGAAGTGTCGCTACAAAACCGCAGTGAAGTGCCACTTTGGGCGAGGCTGTCTCCGATTTTTGGGGGGCCTTGTGGGGATCCATAGGTGGCACCCCCAACTGCACATCGGATCGGCATAGGCAGAAGGGATGTGGGGGAAGACTTCTGGGGGCAAAGCTTGCGGAGCAGACAGCTATGTCAGCTAGGTGACATTATGATGTATTATGATTAGATGCCATGATGCTCACAGAATCAAAGCTGGTGATCTCCATGCATTCGTTGCCGGTGCTGGGCTAGCCACCATTGTAGGTTGCTTCGGGAGATGTTCAAGTTGATGACCAACTCCTTCATGGGGACCGTGGGAGTGCGGGGCCAAGGGAAGGCCACTGGGAAAGCCATGGTTGGATGGTTTGGGAGAGGGCTCCAACCCAAGAGGAAAAGGGCAAAAGGAAGAAGGAAGCGAGGAAAGGGTGAGGAAGGAAGGAGGGACGGAGGGACGGAGGGAACATGGAAAGGCAGTGAGGAAGAAAGAAATATGACATCGTTGGTTGCTGCTGGCCGGAGTTCCTGACGGTGATGGTTTGCCCTGCTGTACAGTATGACTCCGCACTTCCGGGTCATTGACTCCCACCTATTGGACGATGGACTCGGCTGACTCTGCCATGGAAAACCCTACAATTATTTAGGATGTAAAACTAGACTGGTTTTCCCCATTGGTTTCCCGTCTTCATGTTCCTTTCAACCGAGCCTAGCCGAGGCCCGAATGGGTGTGGCCACGATGAAGGCTGTGCCTTTGGTGTCGTTGCTGGTGGTGCTGCGACGGGCCTGGCGACTGGATCAGATCATGGTCAGAAACCGCAGGCGGACCCTGAGGGGGTGGACAACCAACAAGTTGGACCCTGGAGGTGTGCCTGAAAATGGGATAAATAGCCCCAAATTGGGATTCAATCATCAAACATATGGGGGATGGAACCGTTCAGCCAGCTGGGGTTTTCCGCTCACACAATTCTGATTGATGGATGAGTTTGGGATCTCTAACTATAGACAATATAGACCCCTGAGAGTTGAGAACCCCCTGAAAGAACTGCGATTGGACATGGGTGATGGGATGGTCGTAACTCAAAATGGCCAGTTTGTTTCTGGTTTTCTTGTCTCTTAAATTGCAGACAAGCTAAGAGCAAACATGTTGCAACCAACGAAAAATGCGAGTTCACAGGGGAACAAAATGGGATCAGACACTAAGAATGGTGCATATGGGTGTTTCAGAATTGTTTGGTGCACGAGTCATCTCCCTAAGATTGAGCTCCTGATGTTGAGCAATCATTTTTGGTTCAGGAACCACCCAAACTTTAGATGGGTGTGGTAAAGCGGGTTCTTCAGGGGTTGGTCGGACTTGACTGTGGAAACCATTTTCCGAGCTCTCTGCATCTTGTGGAGTCACAATGCATCAAAAGTCTTTGGAGGTTTGGACCGCACACTTTACATAGTCATTTTACAAGTGTTGTCGAGCCCTCATTTAAGCTTAAATTTGACTTTGCTCTTAGCGGGTTGAGTCAAATCAATTCTAAAATCCATAGGGAGGCCCACGGATTTTCCATTTGTGTTTGTAAACCTGGAGGATTTTCTTAATTTACAGTACATACTCTCCAGTACTGCATCACAATGAAAAATGTAAGTTTCTCAGATGATTTTTCCATTAAGACCTCCATAATTTGACGATCTATGGCAGGTCGCGGCTGTGGATCTTGACACGCTCCGCCTTTGAAATGTGGATGTTCGTGGCTCGGCATCCGGCAGTTGTGGGCCCCCATGGATGCGCTAATGGTCGTCCTTACCGCTTTGGCACAAGTCCAAATGACCAGCCGCTGTTGAGGTGGAGTTCATCTTCTGGATTTACTTCAGGCGCTTCATTTGCAGCTTTGAGAGATAAACAGAACCAAGATGAACCAAGCGTTTATTGAACCAAAGGAAATACATGGGTTTCAGGGAAACCCAGCATGATTCTTGCGGAAATGGGCACATGAATTAATGATGGCATGATTGAAGTTGAAGCCTTGGAGGAACCCTCAATTACTACGCAATCTACATAGCTATGATATTATTCAAGATGAGTTGGGGGGCAGCTGCAGGTGCAAAAAGTGGAGTCTAGAGAGCCGTCGAGCGTATCAACCTCGAGTTCTGTGGAAAGCAGCGGGTGAGAGGCACCTCGCTTGGGCTCATTGCTGGTGATTTACCACTGGAGCTGTCTCGGGAGATCCAAGATGATTAAGTACCAAAGCTTGCATGGTGCATCGTTTTTCAACTTTCAGCAGCAGCTCAGTTCTAGTAACATCTAGTAACTATTTTGTATGATCAAAATCAAAATATATCAAAACCTTTACATGTGTCTAGTCTGCTTCCTGGTGGCTTGCCTTTTAAGCAACTGCGGCAGAAGGCTCAAGTTGTCAGGAGATGCTGTTGTAAAATATACGGGTTTCAAGGGATTGAAAGTTGAAGGTGGTTGGTTGACTTTGGTCGCGCGACGTCGACGGGAAGCTGTCTCCAACATTCTCTAACATTCTCTCACGTGTTTTGTTGTCAGCTTGACAGGGAAAGACTCCTGAAAACCTTCCTGACCACAATTGAGCCTTGGTCTTCACAGATCACTCGTCAAGGTGCCAATATGATCTAATGTGAATACTGGGGAAAGCCGGGGTGCAAAATGCTTCAACCGCGGGAAAGCGCTTTCTATCTGATTCTATCTTGATATTTTCACTCAGACCAAGTAGATCCTCTTTGTTGTGCTGATTTTGGAGACAAGCCAGTTTGAATGATCTGCTGCTCTATCTCAGTTCGCCATTTCAGGTCTTCACCAACCATGAAATTGGGGAAAGGACTCAAGCATCATGTGTGGTTCCAAAAACCTCAGAATCGAAATGCAGCTCATACATTGTCATCCCTTGTGGATCCTTGTGGCAGGATATAGCAGGATATATAGCTAGATAACAATTGCACATGTACCATGATCATGCCCCCATCAACAGGGCTTAAGATACCCATTACATGCCACCAGACATCCCTCATGGTGGGATCCATATCCAATCAATCTCTGGCCCAGGAGCGCATCCATGTGGGTCAGGGCTATGTGCCTCCACCTCGAGCTTCTTGGTGGTCGAAGGGAACATTTGGTGCTCGAAAACGAAGAGCTACTAGGGCCTCTAGGGATGGTGCTTTCACAAGAATTGTTCGAATTATACTTCCGATTTTTCAAAAGTCCATCCAAGAAATAATACATTTGATCTTGAATCTTCAACTGCATTCACTTCCAGACTTGGTACGGTATCCCACAGCTGCTCTTTCCAAGATGCACTCTGTCTCCTGCAAGGGCCCTCAGTTGGTCAATAAAAAGCTCAAATGGACATAAATGGACCATCATTTGGCTGCGAAACCCGCAACACATCGAGATACATCGAGTTCTTGGGCATTTCCCAAAACGCGCCTAGGAGCAGAAGGTGAAAGCTCAGACGAAGAAGGCCATGCGGGATGGATCACACAGAAGTGAATCAGGTTGATGCCCAGAGTCCCAGGTTGGTTCAGACCATAAGGGACCAATTGAAACCTCCGGAGACCATCACATTTCATGGAAGAACTCACGTTTTCCCATGGTTTCCTGCGCAAATTTCACTAAGCAATTCGCCCCTTGACACCTTCAGGCCTGGAGCGGCGTGTTGAGGTTGAGGAGACAATCAGAGCCTCTGGCCGTGGGGCAGGACATCCGATCAATGGCTATCAATACATAAACAAATATAGTCTATAAACTATAAACAATAAATGATTGCCTTGCTGATGCAAAATGAAAGATAAACTTCAACACAATGATAATTACATTGAGAAGGAAGATAAAATGATGGCCAAGTTTTTAGTGATATACTTGGTGTGTTTCCCAAACTTGTTGATCTGCAGATCATCCACCCTTTCGCAGTGAAATATCACTGTCCCAATGGATGATGTTTGAGGAAGCTCGACAGAAGCTGATCTCCAACCCTTCAGCCAGCGGCCCCAGCCCACAGGGAGGACACAGCTGGCTCCATCTGATGGATTAGTTCAGCATCGCTCCAGAATTAAGGCTCCCAATCCCAAAGATCGTTTTAAGATCTTTTTAAATACAGTACCAACGGACCAACAACCCATTTGTCGGTTTCATGTGGTTTTGTCATGTTGCATCATGTTTTGTGGATCAAAATTCCCAATGGTTTTTCTCCACTATGACAAATGTCCAACTTGTACAGTAGCAACCACCCAACAGGATCCAACCCCAAACCTCCAACCCCTTCCAGAAAGGTGGAAAACTTTCTTCGACTCTCGGATGAGCACAGTGCCTTTGGTGAGGTGGACCGCTGGGAATTTCAATGGATCGAACCGTCTAAGTTGGAGATCTATATATTTATGACTTATGACATTTTATAAAGTATAATGAACTAATTTATAAGTGATACTGACTAGAATTCAAAGATTGACCGAATACTTCATGTTCACTCCCAATTCTGAGCCAACTCCCATCGTTTCAAGACCGCAGATCCGCGCGTCGTCGCTGTCGCCGGAGCACGGCGACGGCGCCCGGCGCCCGCGGCGGAGTCTGGTGTCCAGTGCACCGTCGGTGGAGAATTTGCTGCGATCCTGGGAGGCCTGGGATTGGTGGGTCATCGTCCCCAGTCATTGGACCATTTGAGTATTGAAACATATTGAAATACCCATGGTGACGGCTGGGGATCCCCCAATTTTTGGAGACCTCCATAAATGGTCGTGAAACACCCCATAAAACCCCTTTGGATTTTTTCGGGTGTGATCCATCTGGATGAATTTTCCAAGGTAAAACATGATGAACATGGTTATAACATGGTAATAACATGGTTATAACCATTGCAGTCGATTCAAATTGGAGATTCACCTCAAAAGCGACACTTGGGTGATTTTCGGGTAAAAGAACATCCCATATTGGGAAAGTGGCCCAAGTTTGACCAGTAGTCATGAAGCTACGTAGCAAAATGAGGGTTTCAGCCAACAAACACGGGAAAGCGGTTGACTTCTTACAGAGAGTTTCCTAAACAAATACTGCGTCCAAGAAGCCCAGAGGATCATCAATTGATCATCATTCTTTCCCATTTAAGTCGTTCAAACTGGCACAATCAATATTTTATATCATTAATACAATATAGGTCAGTATGGTGTATAGTCTTCGTATATAACTAACATAAAACAGCAACATCATGAGGCTAATACATTTCTCCCATTCTCTCTATATCTTTCTATCCATTAGTGAAGCCAAGAAATCGCTAGGTAGCCGAGGAGGCGACACCTCGAACTCCAGCAGAGGTGGAGCCTTGGTTCAGGGTACATGGAGGAATGGGTTGGAATATGCGGGAATGCGACATCCATTTTTTAGTAATCGCAGTAGGTGCGGAAAAAGCGAGTCGATTGATGGTATACCATGGTATACCCAATTCAAAATGGCGAGAGTAGTATGTGGTTGGACTTGGGATTGAAACCATTCCTTAGAAATGGGAGGATGGCACAACGGTTTCTGCGATTTATTGCTGTGAAGGTTGGGAAACCCCAGCAGATCTAAGGACGTGCAATGCTTGAAGCACCTGGAGTTGTGTTCATGGAAGCTCGACAGCAGACCATTGGACAACTGACGTCAGGATGGAAACTGATCCCGCTACGGGTATGGGTTAGATTTTTAGGCCGAATTTCCTCCTTGATCTTGACTCAAGATAAATGAGATACCCATTTTCGACCCATCCTCAGATATACCATGTCGCATCATGTCTTGATACCCACATTTGACATGGGATATCATGGCATGACATTATTTATCATTATATTTTGTGTCAGTTCAGTTTCCAGGTTTACCCCAGGTTTACCCCAGGTTTACCGCCTGGTCACCTTCAACGCCGCCTCGCGTCCCAGGTTTTCCATCTGCACCGCCAGCGGCAAGCGTGACATTTGCCCGGACGTGCGGCAGATCCGTCGTGGCTCGGCGACGAGCAGTCTGCGGGACCAATCATGGCATGACCAGCAACAGCGGAATATCTATCTATTTATATATATTTATTTATCTATCTGACATGTCTATATACAATATATATATATATATAATGATTGAGAATTGATAATGACTGATAATGTATGATATTATATATATAGTATGTATTGATTATTATGATGACATATTATGACATGACATACAGGACATACAAGGCTTGTGGGCCGCAGATACATCCTTGCATGTCAATGCTTGCGACTGGCTTTCCTAGTCGTGCGACTAGCTTTCCTAGTCGTTCTTGGATAGCCGGAACAGGAGGGTCTGCAAGGCATGGTCCAACAGTGGCCATGAGAAAAAACATGATTTGAGACCCCCCCAACCCGCATGCGTTTTGCATTGGTTCCAACAAAACCATCAGACATTTTTTTTTGGCTAAAATGGAACTCTGGAATGGAACTCTATAACTCTGAAGTATTGGCATCGTCGTCGTTATTGTAGGTGGAAATATTGAGCAATGGGTGCTCTCCTACTTCTTCGATGGTGCGGAATCCAACTCTGAACTCACTGACCAAGAGTTCTGCGAGCTCCAGGCTGGTGCCGAGTTTGGGCAACCCGAACAAGAAAAGGACAAGTTCAATGGGGAAATCTTTTGGAAAATCCATGGGGTATCCCTTAAATGAATGATGCTGAAGACGGAGGAAATTGATGGAAATTGATCATCTTTTTGGATAGTGACCCTCCAGGAGCTGGTGGATGCTGTGGCTCACTGGGCTCAAGTGCCACTGAACGATTGCTTGTCCCACTGGGCTGGAAAGAACGAAGGCAGGTACTGGGCTGAGCGGCTGAACTAATGAATTGCCATAAATATCCATAAATTATAAGGGTTCCTATAGGGTTCCTTAAGGGCTAATCAGTCATCCTTTTTTGGTGGTCACCTTGAGGGTGCTCTTGGTGTAATTGGTGCGGGTGGATCGGAAGATGTTTGCACTCCTTGTGGTGCCAGCCTCTGTCAATATCGAGTGTTCATTTGGATGACCGTTTCCCCAGCGCGATCTAGGTAGTGACGGCCATCCATGATTCCAGAACGCGGAACAAGACATATATAGTTATATATACTGATAGTGATTCATAAGAATATCATCTGGACATGAAGCCCATGTTTTGGGTATGATCTTGCACATCCCCAAATTATCCCAAATTTAAATGGGGAAATACTGGGTGAGCTCTCCCATTTGTGATGGTGTCGTCAGGCCTGAAGTGCTTCCGCATGCGTAACGATCCGTTTCTTGGCCTGCACAACTTTTGACAAGCATCAGCATCAAAACAGACCTTGGTCCTTGGTCAACGAGTTGATTTAATGGAATTTGCAAGGAGCTTTACTGTAAATATACACACATTTTCCTTGACCAATTCTGGGACATGGAACAGACTGGAAATTGCGGGAAGATGAAGTATACCCAAGTTAGACTATCAGTACCAGAGGGTATACAGGTTGGTAGGACATCAGTCCTGTCCTTTTCTCGTCGGCCTTGTGTCCAGATTCCCTGCCGTGCATCGGCCGCTGCTGACCTATGTGAATACGGCCTTTGTGGCTCCCGCCATCGGACACCAGGTGGGACATGAATTAAGCGGAGATCAAACCCGTTGTGGTTCTGAAGAGGTGATTGGAACCATCCCGGAGATTACCAGCCTCTGCAGAGCCCTCGTGAGGCCTTGAACATGATGGGGTTTCGGCCCTTCCGCTCAGGCAGCACTGAGTAGCTTGGCATGGTGGTTGTGGTGGTATTTAAGTAGCCAGTCTGACATCTTTGACATCTTTGGATATCTTTGGATGATCAGTTTCAACATTTTTCAACAGACCGAGATAGACAGGATCACTAACGGGAAAAAGAGGCAATGGATTTTAGCTTTAGCATTTGTACATATTTGTACATATTTGTAGCATTTTGTAGCATACAATCTAGGAAGAGCCCGGAAACCTCAAAACAGTTGCAGCCACGGTGAGATGTGTGGATGCCACCAGGTATTGGTTTCGACCCGTGGAACACTGGGCACATTGGAAGAAAGGGTTGAGACCGCGCATCCTCGAGTACCTGGACGGGAGGATTGCTGCGCATGGCAGTCTGAACATGTGGGATTTATCCCCGAATTCCCCAACTTATGGACGTTTTGATGGGGAAATGATGATCAACTAGTGACTAGTGGATTTAGGTCTATTATACAGATTCAGACAAACCCAATGGTAATCACCCGACACATGCGCAATGGTTTTATTACAATTTTTCCGCTTGATGTTGCGATTTGGACGTATCCCCCGCATCTTGAAGCAAACATATTTGATGGTGGGTCAAAACAAATTTCATCGTCCAGACTTTGGCAGGCGCATCTCACCACCCTTCATTCTGTTCATTTCTGGCGATCATCGGCCCACATCAGACATCTACTGGGTCTATGTAACCATCCAGATACCACTCTGTCACATACTCACATTTTTTGTTGCATACAACACAGCAAGTGCGAGTTGATTGGGACATATGCCACCAGGGTTACAGACTATCACCATCCAAAACTGGGGGTCACTGGAACTTGAAATGCTCCATGCATTCCGAGGCCTGCAAAAGCCTTGGTGTTTTGCCACGGCATTGGCGTTGGACCTTCCATGTGTGGAACTTGGAAACCTCACTCACATCAGTTGTCAGTGGTTGTGGGTCCATGACCCATATATTTGCTCAGCTCAGGGAAATCACCGTTTTTTTTTCAGGGTGTTTTCTTGTTCGAAACCAACCTTATTTTAGGTTTCATGTCAGGTTGAGTTTTACTTTTGAATCCTCCAAAAGAACTGCTCTACAGGCGAGCATGGCTATCGACACTTCCCCATTTACATATATAGACTATTTAGACCAGTTATGACCAGTCCATCAGCTCTGTGGTTTGATGTATTTTTCTTTTTCCATAGCCTATATAGCCATTTAAATAGGATTTTCCATACACCACCCAGCTATTGGGGCCATATTTTCTGCAGCAATGCGATCCACCTTCTCAGGTGCCTCACCTTTCTGCAGCTCCTGACCCGAACACTGGGACAGGAGAGCTGGTGGGGCCAACCTGTTGGCCCTTAAATTTCTCACCTTTGCTTCTCATGGTTTCTTGTTGATATACGATATTATACGATAGTTGCATATATATATATAATTATATATATATATATAATTATATATATATAATTATATATATATATATATTCGAAGGAAGTTTAGAAGTCAAACTTCCAACAATATGGACAGATGGAAAAGAAGAGGTGGGAAGAGTCAGAGAGGAGAAGAGAAGAAGAGAGAAGATAAGAGAAGAGAAAGAGTGAGAAGAAAGAAGATGCAGGTGCGCGAAAAGGTAGGAAAGTCGCGATTCACTCTGTTTTTCCAATGATTTGTGGCTCCGGAGGGTCGAAAAGTAGGCTTGCTAAAGCGGCGGGTGCGGAGCCATCTGGCCAGATGAGAGATGTAAAATTGCACGTCGTTGTGGCGCGAAGCACATTTCCAAGTCAAAATGCACAAAGCACACCAGCTTCGGAGCACTTTTTGAAGTTGAGATGTCGGAAAAGTGCACGCCGTTGTGGCTCGAAGCACATTTCGAAGCCAAAAGTGTAAAAAAATGATGGGCTCGGAGCACTTTTGGACGTTGAGCTGTTGAAAAAGTGCACGTCGTTGTGGTGCGAAGCACATTTCCAAGTCAAAACGCACAAAGCACCACATGCTCGGACCACATTTGCAGGCTGAGATACTACGCTAAACTCTACTCCACCCCACAACAACTAAAACTACAACTACAACTGCAATTACAACAAGAACTACAACTACACTACACATCACACAACACTACACTACACTACTCTACGCTCAATTGCACTACAGCACTACACTACGCTACACCCCGCTTCACTTCACTACGCTACACTCAAGTACACTACACTACACTACAACTACAACTGCAACTACATTAACGCTACACTACACTCAATTACACTACACTACGCTACACTACGCTACACTACACTACACTACGCTACACTACACGACAGGACGGTACACTACACTACTGCACTGCACTACGCTAGCTACAACTACAACTACAACTACAAACTACAACTACAACTACACTCCGCTTCACTTGACTACACTGCACTACACTCAGTTACACCACACTACACTCCACTACACTACGTCATAATCCACTACATTACACCACACTACACTCCACTTCACTTCGCTACACTACACTACATTTAATTACACCACATTCAATTACATTACTACATTACATTCAATTACACTACATTCAATTACACTACATTCAATTACAATACACTCAAGCACACTACATTTAATTACGCTACACTCAATTACACTACATTCAAGTACGCTACATTCAATATCATTCAATTACACTACATCCAATTACACTACATTACACTACATCACGCTACACCTACAACGACACCACACCACACCACACTACACTACACCACACTACCTACAACTACAGCTACAACTACGCTACTTTACACTACACTACACCAGTCTACACTGCACTACCCTACATTACATTACGCTACGCCCATTACACCATCACACATGCAACTGCAACTACACTACGCTAATTACACTACACCACAACTACAACTCCACTACACTACAATTACAACTATAGCTGCGCTACGCCACACTACATCCAGCAGTTGCGGGTGACGTGACCTACCAGGTGACCATTGCAACCATTGTAACCACTCCGAAAAACACAACTCCAACCACCTTTCAGTCCATCAGTGGATTGGCTCGGCCATCAGTGATTCACAACAACCAAGCTCTCCTATAGGTTCACTATTTTTGAAACTTCCGCCACCGCCTTGTGCGGTACTACTGGTACGATATCATGTATCATTTTTGTTTGACGATACAGCATCTATATTGGATATCTATTTGCATGAATGGGTATTCAATGATAGTGATCAATGATAGTCAAAACGACAAAGAAGTAATTGGTGTCCTTTGATTTTAGGCCCATACCCAAGTGAACCGCTTAATGGCTGATCCCTTCACCTCCCCAAGAAAAGTGGATACTCCTAGAGGACCCTCAGAAAGAGAACTCTATTGCACCCATGTCACTCCAGGAGCATCCAATCTTCCTGGTGGATACAGCGGGTATCTCCATGAGATTTTCAGATGATGTCCCCGGTGCCAGGGAGGCGAGTGGCGGCAAGTGCCGGCAAGTGGCTGTTCGCTGACCCCTTGGGAGACCGAGCTGGGATCTCTCATCCAGGTGCTTTGAGGTACCTTGATGTAAAGTATTCATCTCCACATTCTTCCAACCAAGACAATGTCTTTAAGGTTTAACAGAGGGTGAAGGGGACGATCTCCCCGAGGTGTGGAGACCTCTGGGATGCTCCGGGGACACTGGCGCATGATTGCCACCCTTCCTGCAGGTGGCCGCAAATATCGAGAATATGTTGCAGGCTGGGCAGATCGGGGAGCCATCTGAATCTAGGCGTTTCCTATTTTCCTTTCAGCCCATTCTCGGATCGTTGGGTCTTGAGTTTTGAGCTGGGTTCCACAATGTAATTTATCACCCATCCAAGTAGAATCCCTACTATATGCTCATCAAGTCTTTCCGAAATAAGCCACCGCAAAAACCCGGCAATACTAAACATGTAAGGGCCAGACATTGGTTTCTGGAAATCTATAGAAATTGTCAAAGCACGAGGTAAGCGATGGGACCTTTCCAAATTAGCGATGCCCCCTTTCAAGGTAATGTCATTCTGAACATTGATTTCTGACGTCGTTTGTGAACCAGATTTGGGCCCACAAGGGTACGTGTTCTTCTTGATATCCACGGAGTGGTCCGCAGAGACAGGAATCTGCAGAAGCAGAAGCCAAGTCCCCGTAAACACGTTTGTTCCACTAGCTGACTGCACATTCTTGCCTTGCATGTTTTCATTGACTCTCCACTTGAACTTGCGCATTTCGATTGTCTCTCACTGACAAATAAGGGGCTACGCCCCCTGCCGCCGACCCCTGGAGCAGGGAGGTCAGCTTCATCGTCTTCAGCCGCTCCTCGTAAAATCTAGGTGGACCAAGCTCAGGGGGCTCTTGGTGCTGTAAAAGTACCAATCCCCGGATGCTCTAAAAGTATCCAAACAGCGCTGTAAGAGTGCTGCGCGCTGTAAGAGTGCAAGGGTTGGACTGGAAGGGTGCTGTAAAAGTACCTGGACCTACAACCTGGACTGGGAGAAGAAGAAGAGTCCGGAAGCTTCAAGGATTTCACATCAAGTTCGGAGGCAGGGTCAGCGGCAATGGCACACTATATATAGTGTATATAGTATATAGTATATAGCATCCACCACCTTGTTATATAATGACAGCTTTGGCGGCCGCTTCCAAAACGGGAAAACACCGTGGAATGCTGGTCCCAACCCTCGGTGCCAGTGCCTAACGTCACTTTCTGAGCCCGCTAGAAGTAGCCCTTGAAGCCTGCAGCTGACAGCTTTGGCGGCCGCTTCCGAAACGGGAAAGCACCGTGGCATGCCGGTCCCAACGGCGCTTCCGAAGCCCCGGTGCCAGTGCCTAACGTCGCTGTCTGAGCCCGCTAGAAAAGTAGCCCTTGAAGCCTGCGGCTGACAGCTTTGGCGGCCGCTTCCGAAACGGGAAAACTCCGTGGCATGCCGGTCCCAACAGCGCTTCCGAAGTCCCGGTGCCAGTGCCTAACGTCGCTTTCTGAGCCCGCTAGAAAAGTAGCCCTTGAAGCCTGCAGCTGAAAGCTTTGGCTGCCGCATCCGAAACGGGAAAGCACCGTGGCATGCCGGACCCAACAGCGCTTCCGAAGCCTCGGTGCCAGTGCCTAACGTCGCTTTTTGAGCCCGCTAGAAAAGTAGCCCTTGAGGCCTGCAGCTGACACCTTTGAAGCCTGCAGCTGACAGCTTTGGCGGCCGCTTCCGAAACGGGAAAGCACCGTGGCATGCCGGTCCCAACGGCGCTTCCGAAGCCCCGGTGCCAGTGCCCAACGTCGCCTTTTGAGCCCGCTAGAAAAGTAGCCCTTGAGGCCTGCAGCTGACACCTTTGAAGCCTGCAGCTGACAGCTTTGGCGACCGCTTCCGAAACGACACCGTGGCATGCCGGTCCCAACGGCGCTTCCGAAGCCCCGGTGCCAGTGCCTAACGTCGCTTTCTGAGCCCGCTAGAAAAGTAGCCCTTGAAGCCTGCAGCTGACAGCTTTGGCGGCCGCCTCCGAAACGGGAAAACACTGTGGCATGCCGGTCCCAACGGCGCTTCCGAAGCCCCGGTGCCAGTGCCTAACGTCTCTTTCTGAGCCCGCTAGAAAAGTAGCGATTGAGGCCTGCAGCTGACAGCTTTGGCGGCCGCCTCCGAAACGGGAAAACACTGTGGCATGCCGGTCCCAACGGCGCTTCCGAAGCCCCGGTGCCAGTGCCTAACGTCGCTTTCTGAGCCCGCTAGAAAAGTAGCCCTTGAGGCCTGCAGCTGACACCTTTGAAGCCTGCAGCTGACAGCTTCGGCTGCCGCTTCCGAATCGGGAAAACACCGTGGCATGCCGGTCCCAACAGCGCTTCCGAAGTCCCGGTGCCAGTGCCTAACATCGCTTTCTGAGCCCGCTAGAAAAGTAGCCCTTGAGGCCTGCAGCTGACACCTTTGAAGCCTGCAGCTGACAGCTTTGGCGGCCGCTTCCGAAACGACACCGTGGCATGCCGGTCCCAACGGCACTTCCGAAGCCCCGGTGCCAGTGCCTAACGTTGCTTTCTGAGCCCGCTAGAAAAGTAGCCCTTGAAGCCTGCAGCTGACAGCTTTGGCGGCCGCCTCCGAAACGGGAAAACACTGTGGCATGCCGGTCCCAACGGCGCTTCCGAAGCCCCGGTGCCAGTGCCTAACGTCGCTTTCTGAGCCCGCTAGAAAAGTAGCCCTTGAGGCCTGCAGCTGACACCTTTGAAGCCTGCAGCTGACAGCTTTGGCTGCCGCTTCCGAAACGGGAAAACACCGTGGCATGCCGGTCCCCACGGCGCTTCCGAAGCCCCGGTGCCAGTGCCTATTCTGAGCTCGCCAGAAAAGTAGCCCTTGAAGCCTGCAGCTGACAGCTTTGGCGGCCGCTTCCGAAACGGGAAAACACCGTGGCATGCCGGTCCCAACGGCGCTTCCGAAGCCCCCGTGCCAGTGCCTAGCGTCGCTTTCTGAGCCCGCCAGAAAAGTAGCCCTTGAAGCCTGCAGCTGACAGCTTTGGCGGCCGCCTGGCGTCGCTGTCTGAAGCGGCAAGACACTAGCACCAAAATTCGGATCCGGGCCTCCAAAAGCCGTACGGGGCTTTGTGCTTCTTCACTTTCCTCTATTTTTCGGACTCCGTTCTAGTTTCCGTCGCTCGTTAACTCTTGCTTCTTAATTCTTGCTTCTAACTTCTTGTTTCGTGCTTCTTTCGCTTGCTTCTTTCGCTGGGACTGCCCCTCCTTTCTCGCTTCCGTTTTCGTGCTTCTTGCACTGCACCTTGCTTCCCTTTCTGTCCTCCCCCTGACTTGCCCCTCACTTGCACTGCACAACACTTGTTGCTTGTAATCTCTTCTCTGACGCGCTTCTCCTGCTGTCGGCAGGGGTCGGCGGATTATTGTCGTTGCTGAACAGTGTTTACATTGACCCCCCCCAATGTGAACTTGCACTGTTTTGCGTGCCTCTTTGCTGACTCTCTGCTGTTGTTTCATGAAGCTGCTTTTTTGGCAAAGTACTACAATATTAACAGATACCAAATTTGGAAAATCATGAGGTGAATTTTAGCGATGCTCTAGCGATGCCTAAGCGATACCCTTTTTTTCTTTTCCAGACACCCAGGCGCACATCAGGCTCTGACACATTCAGGTCTTCTGGTGGCAAGCTAGATAGAGATAGCTAGGTAGATAGGTAGCCAGCTAGCCAGCTAGCCAGCCAGCCAGCCAGATAGATAGATAGATAGATAGATGAAAGACGGATAGATAGAAGCTAGCTAGCTAGCTAGCTAGCTAGATAGACAGACCGACAGGCAGACACCATATATCATTTTAGTGCAAACGTGTGGTAAGCGATTGGACCTTGCCAAGTTTGTGGATGTCCACTCCGTGAACCTAGGGTTTCGACATTGCTCATATAATTGCTGGTAAAGTCCCCCCGAATACTGGTCAAGTCCTGACATGGCAGCCATCTTCCATCCTTTGCTAGGTCTGGGGACTTCAGAATGCGCACTTCGTGGGGCACTCCTTCGGTGCTTTTGTGGTGGCCTGGGTCCTGCGCTACGCCAATCACATCGTGGACAGGACACAGCCGCGCGAAACAACTAGGTCCGAATTGAGGGTACCGGCAGACCCACAAACTCGCCTGTTTTATGTTATTCACGTCGCTTCGCGACGGCAACCGCCCGCACCGCATCATTGGGCAGCCGCTCGTAACTGCCAATGATGTCGGCCATTGAGACCAAAAACATCCGAAAGTACTGATTGTCGGAAAAAAGAACGCGAAGAATTTGATAGCCATGTATAGCGGACCAACGCAGTTCAAAAAATAACGAAAAACATGAAAAAACGGCGAAATTGCTGTTATTTACAGTGTTTTTGCGCGGTGAGAAGCAGAAACCACTGCAAATACCATGGTTTTTGAGGGTCAAGTGGCCAAAAACACTGTAATTTACAGTGTTTTTTTAACCAACGTCAAAAAACACTGGTATTTACGATGTTTTCATTCACACCGTAACATAAAACAGCGTAATTTACAAGGTTTTTGGAAGTTTTGAAGCTAGCCGTCAAGCATGCAAAAAACAGAAAAACACTGTAAAAACCAGTGTTTCTGCTATCACAAAACGACGAAAATCAGTCCGAAAACGGGTCCAAAAACTCAAAAATCCGCCTCCGGGCCCGGCCACCTGCGGAACCGCAAAAAAGATGTTGCAAACCAAAAAATTGAGGTCAAAAAGTTGAAAAACACGGGGTTTTTTCACTTTTCGCTTGCCGATTTTGGACGGGCGCGTTCACGAACAGGTGTCTTCCGTACTGTTTTTTACAGTGTTTTTTGAAGGCGAGCGTCACGACCTATCAAAAACAGGAGGTTTTGGCCGAAAAATGGGACCCCCCCCCCCCAGGTAAACCTGTAACCTTTTACGAGTGCCATCCGGAAGATCACGCCCCAGCACCTTCGGTGCGGGCGGATTTTTCTATAGGTTTAGTGTTTGTTTTCAATTCCACCATTTTAATAGGGATCTAGACTTAGATCCAAAAATGGTATTGGCATCAAAGACAGATATTAGTAGGACCAAACACTCTTTTAGGATCCCAAACAATATTCTTGGAATCAAAAGAAAGATCAATAGATATAGATTAATAAAGAAGAAAACGAGACAAACAAAGAGCTCTGCTTTTCTGCATCCTTTCTTTACTGTCTCTTTGCTTGTCTGTTTCTTTTGCTTAATTCTCCTGTTGGTGTACTTCTTTCACCTTAAAGAAAGCCTAAAGGAACCTTAAATGAACCCCCGCAGATGAAACCCTAAATGAAACCAGAAAAGAACCCGAAATGAAACCCTAAATGAAACCCTAATGAAACCCTAAATGAAACACTGAATGAAACTCCAAATGAAATTCTAAATGAAAGTGTAAATGAACCCTGAATGAAACCCGGAATGAAATCCTAAAAGGAAGGCTAAATGAAACTCTAATGAAACCCTAAATGAAACCTTGATCGAAACTCTAAATGAATGTGCACATGAAACCCTGAAGAAAATTCCAAAAGAAACCCTGCATGAAACCCAAAATCAAACGCTAAATGGAACCCTAGATGAAACCCTACATGCAACCCTAAAGAATCCTAAACAAAGCCCAAATG